GACTTGCTTGTCCTCAGTGCACAGAAATTAGATCAATCTGATACCATATATATATTTTAGAAATGATTTTGAAAATATTTGAACACCTTGTCTTAAAATATTTTATTCATCATGTTAAAATAAAACGTTCCATAATCAATTTTCTTTTCTTTTTTCAATTTTTCAGAAAAAAACAAAAAGGCTTCAGGAAAAAAACGGGGGGAAACCTTCCCCCCCCCCGAATTTTTCCGGTTTTTTCCCGGGCCTTCACATCTCTAGGCATACCGGCCACATGACCACGGAAATGTCTTTGGACAGCGCTGGCTCTTCAGCTTGGAAACGGAGATGAGCACCGCAACCCTAGAGTCGGAGTCAACTGACTTTCAAGCAAGGGAAACCTTTACCTTTACCAAGCCACCCTGAGCCTGCCTTGGTGGGGTATACATTGGAAAAAAAAATAGTGAGGATAGATTCATGGAGGACAGTCTATGAATGGCTACTAGCCATGGTGACTAAATGGAAGTGTCTGTATCAAGAAGCAGTCAAGCTCTAAATACCAGGGCCAGGAGACAACATCAGGGAAAGGCCTCCTTGGCCATGCCATGTGGATTGGCCGCTTTGTGCAACAGGATGCTGGACTAGATGAACCCCTGGTTTTTCAACCAATATGGGTAATCTTATCTTCACCTTCTCCTGAGAGTGAACAGAATGCCTGAGGTGCATTTTGCACATCTATGGCAGTGTCTTGGAACATATTATAGGGTTTATTTCCCTCACTTGGTAATTTTTTTGTAGGCACATCATAGTTTTTGTAACAATTAATTTGAAAAAAGGGTTGCAAATGTTTAACACTCTTTAAGGGCTGTTTTAAATAAACAAGCATGTGTCGAATACCGCTTTTTCCCTTTTCATTTTATATGATTTTTTAGTAGAAAACTAGAGAAACAGTTATCAAAACACTACTTTTTTCCCCACATTGTCTTGTTCAACCAAGCGTGGATGAAATGCCAGTCGTTGCTTAACGCTACGGTAATTTCCTCAGCTATAGAAAATGCGGGACGCGCCACCCGCGCGCTGAAGAAGAGGGAAAGCTTCCATTACTCATCCTCATACAATCCCACATCGAACAAACGGCGAAGCCTCTCCGCAAGCTTGGGTTAATGTGAAGGGGGACGGGAAGGCATTAAGAAACTTCTGCGCTTGCGTAGGTAAAACCACACCGGGGGGGGGGGTTGACAGCGGCAATATACAGACAGAAGAAAGCCTTCCCGTCGATAGGGTTGCTAAGGTCCGTGCGTATTTCCCTCTGTCCATCCCACCTATTGTGACTTCATCGCGGCCGGTGGAACACACAAACCCCGCCACATTCCCTTCCCACTCTCCTATTGTGAACGAACGGGGTCTCCTCAACCACCACCGAAGCACCAAGTCTCGCGAGATGTCTCCAAGAAGGCGGTTGAGCTCAAAGCGCGCTGTTGGAGCAGGCAAGTCTCGCGAGATATCGCTGACAAGGAGTTGGAGCCAATTCTCAAGTCTCGCGAGACGCCTCCGTAAGGCGGTTGGGCTCGCGGCGTTTTTTCCGCCTCCCCCCGTCAGAAGGAGCCGCTCCCCTTTCCCCGCCTTCGTAGTTTTCTTCCCTCCACTCACACACGGGGCCGGCCACCTACACGAGCGCCATGTCTCGCTACTTGAGGCCTCCCAATACCTCGCTGTTCGTGCGGAACGTGGCGGACGACACCAGGTGTGTGTAAGTGAGGAGGGGGGCCGGAACGGGAGGGAAAGTGGGTGGACTGGTGGGGGGAGGGGAACGGGCTATCCCAGTGGCTTTGGCCTACATGGCGCCCGCGCAAGTGGCGATGTGGGGGTGGCGCACTCGGTCTAGGCTTTAGCGTGCTCGCCGGGCCCAGCTTCCCCAAGAACCGAATAGGCGACGTTATACGAGGCCTTCCCGCCACTTGCCCCCATTTTTCATCTCCGGGGGTGGGGGGAGAAAAGTTATAGTTCACTTCCCGCGCGATCCTCACGCATCCTTTCTCCTTTTTCAGTATTACTTCCAAGCAAACATCCACAGCTTCGCAGCTTTGATGTGTGCTTCAATTTTGTCTTTTAAACTTCGACTTTTGGCAGTGGAAAAGCTTTCAAAGATATCTGTTGAGCATCGAGATAATTAAGAGAATATGTTATGAAACTCGTTCACATTAGGAGGCCATCTTGATATCCTAAAGTGCAAAAAGGAGAGCTTAAAATATGTTTTTCTTTATTTTTTTAATTTTGTGAGATCTGGGGAACTCGAAAGTTTGCACACTGTTTATTTACCTCATTTTAATTTTTTAGACTTTATTTATCTCATTTTATACTTTACTGGGCCCTCCAATGGAGTCCATAGGTGGCTTTCATCATTCTCTTCTCCTATTTGCCTTTACAAAAACCCTGTTAGATAGGTTAGTCTGAGTGTGTATATGTAACTGGTCTGAGATCATGGAGCAGACTTCCATGGTAAAGTTGGGATTTTAACCTTGGTCTCCCCAAGCCCAGTCCAGCATTCCACGACACAACGATGGCTGTGTATGGTTGGGCTGTCCTAATATAGGAATAGCATGGGTTGTGTTCTTTGCTGGCTCAGACCAGTAGTTCATCTAGACCTGTTTCACTCATTGTCCAACCATTTGCTGTGGAGGGCCAGCAAATAGGGTGTAGATGCCAAGGCTTTGATAATGCCTCCAAAACACTTGGATTAGAGGCTGACTGTCTCTGGATGTGGAGGCTCCTTTTAGTAATTGTTGTTGAACATAATCTCTATGAGTTTGACTAACTCCCTTTTAAAATAACCTAGGCTAGTGGTCATCACAATGTCCCAGTGTGGTGAATTCCACAAGTTAATGTAACAGGGTAAATAGAAGCATGAATGGTACATGTGTTTATAATAGCAAAATAAAAGAGGAGTACAGTAGCACTTCGAAGGCTTAACCAAATGTATTGCAGTGTAAGTCTCGTTGAGTCAGAGTTCACTTTATCAGACATGTGAAGTGTCTATTAGGCCAGGTACACTTAAAAATGTAAACCAGGATCCAATCAAAATGGTAACTGATCCAATCAAAGTAGGTGAAGATCACTCCCAGTTGCTAATCTGATTTTGCTTGTCAGTGGTTGGAGGTGAGCCTTAGTCTTTAACATGCCATTGGAATTGTGTTTTAAAATTAATCCAAACATTTTGTTTAATAAAACTAGACTTGAAAAAGGCATGCTAAAAGATCACATTTGGGTTAAACCAGCAGTTAAGTATTTGCATGAAGAACAGTCTTTTTTATTTTCTATGTCCACTGATTGATTTTGCTCCCTACCTGAGCAATTATTTTCTCCCACCCCTTTGCCTCCAGGCTTCCATTATCTCTCAATTTTGAATGTATCCCTACCAACAAATTTTCCATTCTGTTTTTAAATATATATTACTAATGTTATTCTTTGTCTTGTCTTCACTTCCACTCTTTTCATGTCTGTTGCTTTACATTCTGTTTCCTATTTACTTCCTCTGTGTATTGTTGCAGTCTCTCTATTTTGCATGATCTCTTCTCTCAGTTCTCTCAGGGTGATAAGTTGAGAGGCTTTATAGCAGTAAACTTTTTGAAGTGGGACTCACTTCTAAACTTACTGTGCTTTTTGGCCCCCAATTGCAAAGTAAGTTCATGCCACTTCCCCCTGCCCAGTATAAAATGTGGAGGTCTCACATCAGTTAACAAGCCTATATTTTATTTTTCATGTTTGGTATGTATATTACATCATTACTGATCAGTAGGTTGTATTATGTAGCAGCTTCACACATTATGCAGAGGTAATCACAAATGTCCATTAGTTTCTTTCTCACAGCTCATCTTATTTTCCCTTTTTCTTCCTGATCTTGCAACCTCCTTGCAAGAGAGTCATGTCTGAGTACAAGCCCACACATTCAGAACTGCTTCTTTAAATAATTACTTGGGATCTATTAGAATAGTTCTGTTCCTCCTCCAGTCTTTTCCTTTTTTTTTTTTTTTTGTACAAAACTTTTATTTTTTGGATATAATATCACATTTAACATTGGCTTTCACTTATCCAATACCCATATTTCCCTTTTCCCCCTCCCTTACTAGTGGCTTCCCGCAGTGCTCGACCCTTTTTCCCTTTAAATACTTATATTTGCTTAAACATTTTAAATTGCTTAAATGTTAAAGATAACATTTCTATCAATATTGTTCTAAATACAATAAATTGTGTTTAACGTCCCAGTTTTCCTCTAGATAGTCTTTAAAATCTTTCCAGTCTTCAAAAAATTCTTGATCATCTTTGTTACTCAACTTTCTTGTTATTTTGTCCATTTCCACCATAAATAACACTTTTTGTATCCAGTCTGAGATCTCGGGCGTTTTCTCTTGTTTCCAGCATTGTGCATACACCATTCTCGCCGTTGTTATCAGGTACCAGAACATAGGGTTTTTTTGTATATTTAACTCTTCCATTTTCAATCCTAGCAATAAAATCTCTGGTTCTTTTTTAAAACGACAATTAAACATTTTCTGCATTTCACAATGAATTTTTGACCAGAAATCTATCGCTTTTT